ATATATTATTTCAAAAAAAAGTTGCCATTTGAGTGGGATTTCAAATTCTAGGATCAAAAAGTGGGTTTTTTGGGTTTTAGAATTCCATAAAACTTGTTTGTTTCAAAATAAATTTTAGAATATCAAATCCCCAAATGATAAAAAAATATTATATTTAAGGATTTGTGAAAATATATTATTTCAAAAAAAAGTTGCCATTTGAGTGGGATTTCAAATTCTAGGATCAAAAAGTGGGTTTTTTGGGTTTTAGAATTCCATAAAACTTGTTTGTTTCAAAATAAATTTTAGAATATCAAATCCCCAAATGATAAAAAAATATTATATTTAAGGATTTGTGAAATCCTCTTTTTTGGATGGGATATGGAGTGGATTTCAAAAGTGTTAGACAAATTAAGGATTTCAAATTCCAAAAAGTTTGAAACAAACAAAATTACAAATTATAGTATTCCAAATCCCAAAATATTGTTGAAACAAACAAAGTTTTAGGAATCCCCCATGGTGTTTTTCTTGTTGTGTTTTTGTAAAAAACATTATGGTGTTATGTTTTTCCTTTAATTTTTTTTCAAAAGACCATGTTAAATATTTTTTGTCAATATAAGTTTGACTCATTATAATATTAGTATTGAACATATTATTAATATATTATATACTAATTATAATAAAATATATTGTAAATAAAATGTTATAATATTTAGTTTAAATTATTATATTATTATAAGTTTAAATATAATGTAATATAATATAATATAATATTGTATAATATATTAATATATTATATTATACTTTAATGAGTTATATTATATTATAATTATCATCATATTATAATTATTACATATTATTTTCAAATAATTATATATTTAATTATTTTGACATATTAATTTATTATTATTATATATTATATTAATATTTTTATAATAATCTTATTTTATTATTAATATAATATTATACTATTATTCATTTAATATAATATTTAATATAATCTTATTAATAATGTTAATATTATGTTATTACTAGTATGTTATTAATAAATTAATATACTATAAATATTTTAATATTATATAATATATTATAGTTTTTAATATGTTAGAGTTAATTATTAGTACTTTAATAACATATTAGTATTTATGACATAAATAATTATTATATTATGAATAGATTATTTTTACATTAACATTTGTTAGCAATAAATTATTTTGTTATTAAAAATTATTTTACTTTATAATAAACTATATTATTTATTATATAATATATTAATATTTTATTATATTATAATACATTATCACATATTAAACACTGGTATTTAATATGTATTATATTATTATATAAGATATCTTAATTATTATGTTTTTATATTATTTAATAAATATTACTAGTGTCTTAAATTAACTATAATATAATATAGTATAGTATAATATAATAAATATGTTGATAATAACTTTATATTAATTATATTTAATATATTATGTTAGATATTATATTAACACATTCTCAATTTCAAAACCAAAACACCAAATTTAAAACACCTAAAAGATATTTTGAAATAAGTGTTGTGTTTTTAATTTGAGAATGATTTAGTTAAAAAACACAATGATTTCCAAACACATGGTGTTTTATTTTGGAAAAATTGCTTCTAGGCCCCAAAATTCAACTTTTGATGTGCTCCAGCCCCCCATATTTTTTTAAATGTGCTGCGACCCTTTGTTTTTGAAAAAATTATGTCCAGGCCACTCCATCATGATTCCAGCTCATGCCAGCAGATGATTAGATATTGTTTGGTGGAAAAATTGAAGTAAGTAAAATGAAAGAATTTTGATTTGTATTCTCTTGATCTTAATTACAATTTGAATTCCGATTATAAAAGAGAGGAGAATGATCTAGATTCTCCTATTTGTTTAATTCTAGGTTCTTCACGGTAGCGATGGTGTGCCTCCTTCGAATGCTTGCGTCGAATTTCCTCTCTGTTGACGATCCGACTGTCTTGTCTCGTAGGAACAATTAACTTATGTAATAAGTTTGATGGATAACT